TTTTTTTTTTTTTTTTTACCACCACTACCTCCGATACTGTTTTTGCTGACCCTGAATTTCACTGTCCACCGAGTTTTGCCGAGCCTAGGTCCCATTGTCTTTTCTTTTCTGGTACTCGTACACAAAAAAAATAAAAACAATTGATTTCATCACGGCAAGGACAAAGAAAACAACTAAGGATGCTATGGACTCGAACGCAGTCGGATGCAGACTCTGGAGTACGTGTGAGACTATGACCTCGCACACTTTTGTTTTAGCGGCGCGGTCATCACGGAAGATGCCATAAGGAGTGAGCAACCTGAAGGGAAAAAAATGAGCGACGCTAAGCACGTGAAATCGGTTGTGCATGTGAGACTATGCCTTCAGTCATACACCTTACAGGGACGCGTTCATCACGGCAGTTACCATCGGCAATGGGGAAAAAAAAACTACTATATGGACGTGAATTGAGTTGGATACAGAATCTCTAGTACGTGTGAAAGTAGGCCGTCTGTGACAAAAGTGTCAGCCCTTCGTTCAAAGAGCCCTGCTCACTGGCAGGGCAGAAGACGAAAACAATAGAAGAGAACTAAGCAAAAGAAAACAAAAACTAAGCTGAAACTATACGTGATAGCAGGCAGATGTGCTCCTAGAAGTAGTGGTGTGATCACACCTCGTTCTCGATGTCTGTCCGCAGTGCACAGTTGCGTCCTTTTCTTTTTTTTTGGTGCAAGCGGGCCCACAAGGCCCAGACATTTCTTTTCTCCCGAGCCTCGTTGGGACCCCCTAAAAAAGCGGTGTGACGTATATTCCCGTATTTCCCAACACTGAGAAAGGTAGTGGTGGTTTACACTTTGTCTTCCCCCCCCCCCCCCCCCCCCCCCCCCCCCCCCGGAGATCAGCACTTTTTGCGAATCAGTCAAAGTCTGCTCCAGACCATTATAAAGAGTCGGTTTGCTATACATTTTGTCATGAATCGGTAGCAAACAGCAAACATGGAATGTAATGTAGAGAACACAAGCTGACTTCTAAGATTTTTTATTTTAAACTTTAAAGGGATGCACTTTTGAAAGTTGCAGATGCAAGGAAGTATGATTTGTTGTGGAAATGGGACATTTTAATCGAATATGTTTAGCACTTTCTCTTGCATGTGCTGCGAGTGCAGGTGAAACAGAATGCCAAAAAGAAACTGGAAGCCCTGGAGCAGCACTTGAAGGACCTTAAAAATGAATGCAATTCAAAGGCTGGAAGGTTGCAGAGCAGGCAGGACGAAATGGAGAATTTGAAGGCTGAACTTGCATCCAAGGCCCAAGAAGCAGAAAGTCTCGGTGAGTTTGTAATGGCCTCTTTTACTGCCAGTCCCTTGTTGTCCTTATTATCCTCTTTTTGAAGTTTGTGTACGAATTGATTTCCCCTCCTGCGTCATGAGGTTTTTGTCATTTGATACTTGTTATGATGCTTACAATTTGGCAGCATGAGGAATGTCGTTTGATTGTTGCCGAGAAAGCAACACCAGTGATTTGTTGCAGAACTGATTTCAGCTGGCCCATGCTAGGCTAGGCTCCATCGCTTTTCAGAAGCTTCTGACACGGATGTTGGTCTTATTGACTATTTGGGGATTTGGTACGCTGAATGCATGTTGACTGCTGAACTCGTGTTTGTTAAGGGCTTCCAAACACTGATTCCCAGGGACTTGGGTTTGTCCGTATATAGCACCTTTCCTTGGTCGCCTTTGGGAAAAGCGGCTTCCAAACACTGATTCTCCGTAAACAGATCTTCCTTCTCCCTCAAGGACTCGTTTGCCGTATCCACGGGAAATAGCCCCGAGTGAAGGGGGGAGAAAACTGAAAAAGTATGCTTTTGCTCGGATTTGCCTGTCGGCTCCGTTTATAGCTTATACGACAGGTCTAATCTTCTGCTATCTGCTCGGTTAGGATATAGAGGAGGTGGGTATTGAATTGAATGGGTTTGAATACTGCTAAACCGTTGGGTAACATAACATGGTCTCTGCCTCGTCACCCCCATAGCTTCAACTTCGAGTGCCGCCGCCCCCATTTACACCGTCGCTTCTTTGGCAGCCTTGGAGGGAAGTTTAAATGATGACCATAGGGCGCAAATCACCCTCCACCCTTTCTAGCAGCATTGGCAACTGCCCGCTGATAGCTGTCAGAAATAGAAATGGTAGGAGAACCTACTCGTTTTGCTGGTGTGAGGGTGCAATAGGTTATGACATCAATGTGGCCATCCTTACCCTGATGTGATTTTTGATTCATAGATGGGTCGGTGCAATGGGACTGTTTAATCTGAGGTTGATGAGAGTTCTGCTCCAGGCAGTCGAGCATGAAGTGATTGTGATTGATGTTCGGGAAAGGGGTATAAGATGACCACCATGAAATGTGGGAGAAGTGTGGAAGGAGAGGTGGTGCGCTTGCATTTCTAGCGGAGTGGAAGCACAGTCAAGCCTTTGGGGGCGCACTCTCTCCCGTGGAGTTTAGTCTCTTTTGTCTGGTTCTCTGGAATGACGGGAACATATTTCCTCGCATTGTGGACATGATTACGCCCTCGTACAATTGAAATTGGGCTCCTGTGTCAGACTCTCCTGTCCCCAGTCCTTTTCCATGAATGCCATTCCTGTCCAATGGGAAAGACAAATCTGTTTTCTGTTTCCGTGATTTAAAGGAATTACAGGGAAAAGTCCTTCGGGACGTCCGTTAAAATTGGAACGATACAGAGAAGATTAGCATGGCCCCTGCGCAAGGATGACGCACATAAATAGAGAAATGGTCCAAAAAAAAAAAAGGAATTACAGGAAAAAGGAACTGCACATGATCTCTCCACTTACGATTGAAATCGGGGCCATGTGTCAGAAGACTCCTGACTCTAGTTTTGTCCCACGAATGCGATTGCTGTCCAGTGGGAAAGACGGATCTGTTTTCCTTGTCCGGAATAGAAGAGATCGTAGGGGAAGAGGGACTGGATGACGTATTTCCAGGGGCGAAGAAAAAAATCCTCGATTTAGTTACCTGCAGTGAATGATGAAGGGTGGAGGATGTGCTTTGAAGATGGGGAGACCCGCTTTCACAAGTTTGTCTATAATTCTCGATTTGTTCATTGGTGCTTGTGTTCCTTCTGAAGTCGTCCGGTAAGTTTCAGGGATGTGGCGATGCCCTATTTTATCTTAGGGCAATCATGGCAAAGCCTATTTTATTTCAGGGGGATGCCTATTTTATTTGAGGAATTTTAACTCCTTTTTCAGGTCATCTACCATTTTCTGGAGTTACGGAGTGAATGTGTCTGTTTCTGGTTTTGAAATGATTCTCATCGTGGATGTTGGCAACTTATCCGACTGTTGGCCAGGTTTCCTGTGCCTTCTTTGCATCTGGTTTTCTTATTGTTATGATATAATAATGTTATTGCAGCTACTATTGCTAGATTATAACACATGGCTTAGTTGGCTGCTCCTTTCTGAACATTGTACATCTGTCATCCGCGTCTTTTCGTTTGTTTGCCTCATTTAGGTGTAGGTTACTTGTTATGTGTGTGCTTCCCCTTTCCCCCATCTCCCTGCGTTCACCATTATTGCCGCTTTTCTACACGATTTGTTTCACGCTTGCAGACAATTGCCGCTTTTTCAGCCGATTTGCTTCTACCACAACTCCTAAATTACAGAGCGGGTCTTGGAAGACGCTCCCTGCTTAGGAGCGGATCTCTCGGAAGATGCTCCCCGCTGGCCCCAGTGTGTCCCAGCAGCGTCCGTGTCGCCGACCTGGTTTGTTTGTTTGTTTGTTTGTTTTTTTTTTTTGTTTGTTTTTTTTTTTTTCGGGTTTTGAATCTTTTGAGTTTTTTGGTCCGGGGCTCGACTCACTAGTTGTTCCGAGGCCGTTGGCAGATTGCACAGGAGGATTTGTTTCACGCTTGTGGAGAATTACTGCTTTTTTAGCGGATTTGCGTTGCACTTCAGTTTTTAGTGTACAGCACTTGGCACAAGTGTATCTGTTCCCCTTTCCTCCCTTGGCAAGGAGAATGGTGTCCGTTTCTAAGGAAATAATTGCAGCATTGACTGTTCACAGCGATTTCATTACCAGCAGGGGAGAGAAGAATACACCCCTGAAAGAAAACTATGGCCTGGAGCAAAGCCATGCAATCATTTTTTGCTAGTATGTGGGGTATGATTTACAACAGTTTTGTGATCCTCAGGATTTGGAGGGCCCGCGTTCATCTATTTGGTGGTGTCTGAAATCCAGAGGGGTGTGAGAGAAGTGAAGCCTTTTAGTCTTGAACTGGATCACTGGATGGGTTTGACTAATCACTCTGCACTATCTTTCCTTTCCAATTGTGAAGACTGATGCCATGGGTATGGGCTTTATGTTTGTTTGTTTTCTGAATGAGTGTCTAGTTTCAGTCAGATGCATCCATGGAAGTCCTAGTGTGAGAACAGTCTAAACATAGCAAGGCTCTGATTGTGGTACGGGTACTCGAAACCCTCTCGGCCTTCTTCTCTTGCCAGTGCTGTTGGGTACACGGTTGGTAGCGTCACATCAGATCACGATAGTTGAAATGGTAGTTGGCTTTCAGACAGGCCCAACGGGTGCCATGTCTGTTTTGAAAATGCATGCTTCTGGTTGTAAAACTGACTAGGCTTATGCAAAGAACACTACGAGTGGGCCCTGACCCTCTTTGAGGCGAACAAAAAGTGGGCCCTGGCCCCTTGAAGCTGAGGTTGACGAACATGTGCCTGGATAGTAGTTCGGCTGAATTTGTTGTTAGAATAGCATGGGTATGGCCGAATGATTGTTAGAATTTGTTGTTAGAATAGCATGGGTATAGGTATGGGTATGGTGACGGTGGGGCCCGAATTTGAACCCTTGGCTGCTTCCTTCCTCTTGTTAGGTTTATCACGAACTCCCTCTGCCGATAGTTTATATCCACATCCACTTGTTGTACTTCAAGCGAGAGTGTGACGGTAAACCACTAGTCCCTGGAGGCCCTTTTGTTGGCCTCTTGTGGCTGCAATTGGTGCAGATGAATCATATCAGTGACAGGGGGGTATATCCAAATAGTGGCCCGCTTGTGCAATGTTGCAACCGGCGGAGGCCGCAGTGGTTTAAGAGAAAAGTCCACTGGTGTGCAATGGCCATAGCACGAGTGAATGGCAAAGGAGGCAGCACTTTGCACAATCGATATCGCAGGAGTTAAGCGCGAAGGGGCAAATTTGCTGGAATGCCAATGTGGGCAATAGGTATTGCCTTTGTGAGTGGGCGTCGAAAGTCAAGGTGTTGTCCTGTAGCCTTGTGGTCGTAGCATAACTCGCGGAAGTTTTATGTAATTGCTTGTAAAGAGTTCCCGAGGAGTTGTGTTTGTTAAGGAACAAGGTTCTCACAAGGAAATCCAAAAATTCTGGAAAAGAAACGAGTTAGCAAAATTGCTGTAGCGGCTCTTTGTGGGCAAAGTGTTTGGGTGAATAAGACGTAGACTTTCAGGTTTCAGGTCATCTCAGGAAGGTGAAATGGTTCTGACGTTTGATGATGGACCAGTTATTAGCTCAAGGTGTGATGCTAGACGTGAGGATGATGCTGAGGAAGTGATTTTGCCCGATTGCTCTCGGTCGCTATATGGCTGTCTGGCGTCGTACGATGCATGTAGGATAGCAATTCTGATCCACTATTAGTTAATTGCCGAACCAGAGATTCCAGAATTTGTGGCTCTGGGAACTTTGCTGGAGAGGTGTCAGTGTGAGATTTACCATAGAAACAGCTCGAAACTCGAGAATTACCAATGAACAGTTACTTTGACGCAGAAGATAACCTATGGACAGAGTGGAGCCAATATTTTCAGTCTGTCCTCGTCAGGCGTTGTAAGATGCATGTAGGATAGCAATGCTGATTCACTGTTAGTTAATTGCTCAACCAGAGAGTGCAGAGTTTGTGTTTCTGGGAACTTTGCTGGAGAGGTGTCAGTGTGAGATTTACCATAAGAACAGGTCGAAACTCGAGAATTACCCACGCAGAAGGTAACCTATGGACAGAGTGGAGCCTATATTTTCAGTCTGTGCTCGTGGCAAATACTGCTTTCCACTCTCTGACCAAGAGTCATTCGGAGTTTTGGATTTTTGCTCGTGATGCCTTAACTTCTGTTGCCGATGCCAAAAAAATAAAAATAAAAATATGGGCAGTAATCTGTCAGGCCATCAGTGGATCTACCACAGTGACATTTTGTTCAAAAATATTCGGTTGTTTTAGCAAACAACTGTCGATGCTTGATTTCATTGGAGGGAGCTTCTCTCTGGCTTTTACCCGTGGCCTGTTACGAGTATTCATCTGTTCAGCAC